TAGTCCTCCCATTCCGTATTTATTTGTTTGTGCTGGCATTGTGGCACTGCAAGTGTTGATATGTACATGCATATACACATATCATCTCTCGTGCTGTATTATATCTATACAGTGTTTCCCAGTATATGTACATATATAACTATATACACATACATATACATGTACATGTGCATGTACATGTACATGCATTTGCACATTCACATACATACATAAAACTAGTATATAGGTTTATCTATTTATTCGAGATTTGTTTATACATGCATACATGCATGCATACGTGCATACATGCGTGAATAGACAGACAGACGGACAGACAGACAGACGCACGCGCACACACACACACACACACATGCGCAGCTCAGTACCCTGCAGAACCGTGTATGTTATGCCAAGCAGTCATTATCGTGACTCATGTTTTGTCTTTGTGTTTAAGTCTTTCGAGGGGTGGCTTACATTCACATAGAGGGCATTGGCTGCGGAGAAGGGAAACAGTGTGGGCAATGCTGCACGAGCAAACATGTTCAGCTCCATGACGATATTGGTAGTAAATGAGGAGTGGCGGGGCGGACGCTGGGGTGGCGCTAATGGGGGAATGGGCGGCGGCGCGCGGTAGTGTTGCTGCTGGCGGCTTTCTGGAGGGACGGTACATTGGGAACCTAGTTCTTCAGTGTGCTCATCCAGTCAGACTAGGCATTCACTGACATCACAGCTGTTTCGGCAGATATGCAGAGTGTACTATCCTGAACGAAGTCGTCTCCGTTCCGTCAAATGAAAACCCCCATGACAGGCCTCCTGGCTGGCGAGCGTCTCGAATCCGCTGCCGGCCACGAACAGTGCAGCACAGACTCTTGCTCGCAGCGAGTGCAGATAGGTCTCCAAGGCTGAGACTCTACTTTTAGCGGTGGATTGGATGCTTCAGAATCCACCTGCCCAGCAGAAAGCAAGAAACCGCATATCAACCCCACGAAGTCTTGTCAGGAGAAAGCAGTCGCCAGAACTGCAGCTGCAGCAGTATTTCGAGGTGCTTTCTTCCTGGGCTCCCCTTGGCGAGGCTTCAGTAGTTTCCCACCAAAGCCTTGACATGACGCACGGCAGAGATTCAGGGTTGTAACGGGCAGCGATGCGGCTTGTTTTCTGGAAGATTTAGATTTCCAGGCCCATGCATTCGAATGCGCTTCTCGAGTCTTGTTCAGAAAGCTGGTCGAAGGCTTTGTCACTGCAAGCATGAAATATCATGGATCACCTCAGGGGTTGTAGTGAGCCTGGAAGACAGAGCCAGGTCATGTCCTGCTTGCCGCTGGAGACTCGCTTGAAGCTGTCGCCATACGCGGTGCCACTGGGTGCCCGGTAGCAGACACGCGGGCGATCATGCTGAATGGCCACATTCCCTTTGAGTTTCCCATGCATGCGGGAGAATGTCTGCCTGTATTGAAACTAGAAGTACCTTACGCCAGGCTACTTGTAGGAACTACACAGCATTCAAGACTGAATCAATTTTGTGATCGCACGGGTCACTTCATTTCTGCCCGAAGTTCTTTTGTGGGCCAATGGTGGTGTGGCCGAAGCTGATTGCATTTCCGTCACGATCGTCTAACAACACTTTCAGTCCGGCCTGGCCAGACAATCGGCATGTGGCCATGCGTAGCTTTCTCACCGCATGAGTGTTTCACCTTGCACCTGCTCTCAGCCTCGAGCTTGGCAAGATGGGTGCCTCAGCATCTAGGTCCAAAAGGGTCCAAAACAACTTGCTGCTTGTCTCTCATAGAACCGGTGACGTGATTAGTGTTGTGAGTTTTCCATATTCCAGCGCAGCGAAGATCTACAAGACCTTGTTGGATTCCATCGAAAAGCGGGATTCTATGGGCGTCTTTGCCACTCAGACGAACGAAGCAAGACTGGTGCATCAGCCCTGTTCCCCTCAGAGTTCCTTCAGAACTTCGCTGATGTCGCTGATAACCTGGGCTTTTGTTTGTGTCCGAGACTCGCCGCCCCGCTGGAGGACGTTTTTGACTTCGCAGCACTGTATGAGGAAGACGATGCGAACATGGCATAGTAAGCAGGGACGCCCACACACACTGCAACCGAGTGCTATATAGGCAACAGACAAGCAAAGCACACCCTGCACAAACATGTTACAGTAGTATCATAAGTCAAACTGCAGACATGCCTATATACATGAATCATCGAGTCTCTTTTCCCTCGCTCTCTCTCTTTCTCTCTGTCTCTCTCTCTCTCTCTCTCTCTCTCTTTCTCTCTCTCTCTCTCTTGCGTTGTGTTCGTTGCGTTGTATTCATGTGTAGCATGGTGTCGCTATCTCGCTTACATAGGATATCGCACAAGCTGCCTAGATTATGTGTATATACATGTATGTGCACATGCTTACATGCCCATACGTACATGCATACAGACATGCACACCTACCTACATCGATCCGGTTGCACGGGCATGTGTATGGTTGAGACTTTGCACCGTGCCAAATTCCCGATCTCGACAGGCTCGCCCTGCTCCCACGCAGTCCCTTTTTGCAGGGCGCCGAGACTGTCGGATCTTGTGCATGCTAGGTTCTCGTGTGGGCTTGTGGGATCTTGTGGGTGTGTATGTGTGTGTGTGCGCCTCGGGGCAGCATTTGAACAGCAAGCCTCTCATGCGCAAGTTTGGGGGGAGGAGAGCGTCGCAAAGCACTCGGTTGGTAGCCTCCGGCCAAGCCCCAAAGCCAAGAAAAAGCAAATTTAAAGACCATTTTGTGCAGGTCTTCGTGGGGGTCGACTCCGACTGTGAGGCGCGGAGCATTTGACGGCGTAAAAAATATGCAAACTGCTGAGGACCGCTGTAACAGAGGCTCGAACGGGAGCAACATGTGCTGTCTCGAATATGTTTGAGGTGCGTTAGTGTCCTGCCATGCCGCAGCCTGTCTGGCCAAGGACCTCACATTGCCGCCTGAATAAAGGGTAACTTGAATACTCCTGGTTCGGTTCTCAAACATGTATGTAAGGATGCAGCCTTCCTCACGACATGTAGTAATGTAGTAGCCGAAACATCCTCGAGCTCAGATGTCCCCCCCACATTCAAGACATAAATTCAGCTGTTAGCGTTGCTTCGGTGCAGTAAGGTTAAGAATACTTAGCCAAGAGCTATCAAGAGATATACAGAGCTTGCATTTTGGTGCAGGGCCTTGGGCTCATGCTCATCGAGGACCTGAGCAAAAGGCCGACTGTCCGGGTTGGCGCTGCGTGATTCGTAGCCGGGCTCCCTCATTTGGGGAAAATATCTCAAACTCCCGGTAAAGAGAAGAATGTGTTTTTGAGAAGCTCCTTGACCGAACAGGCTTGGATCTTCGAGAAGGCTTCGGAGAAATTTCAAAAGTGCAGAGGCACACGGACTTTGTTGGCACTGGTCGGGAAACGCTTGTATGTTTTCATGTGTGAGAGGCGCTTGGAAATCCATTGCTGTCATGGCATGCTCGACACCGGCGTCTCAATTGATGACAGGGGATCGAAGTTCGCCGAGCTTGGGATCCGCGTTTCAGGGCAGGGTGGCTGCCGAATGCATCAACTTTGGATGCTTGCCTCATTGAGAAAGCTCGATTGGCAGCCTCCGCAAGGTGCGCCTCTCGCGCCTGACAAGCGGAGGTTGGGCCGTTCCGGAATGCGAGGCGGCTGCGGATAATGCTGATACGTTTGGGATCTTGGGCATGCTATGGGTCTTGCGGTTCGGTTTTTATTCTCGATTTCTCAAACTTGAGTTTTCGTCTGTCCGCCATAAAAATGGAAACGATTTCGCAGGGAGTCCTCAAGGCCCCCTGACGAAGTGCGACAGCCAGAACCTCGAATCTCGAACATGATAACATGTCGTCGTTTCATTCACCCCCTTGTCCTTGCCCCTTCGAACAGCAACAGCCCATGTCGGACAGAGGCTGCATCAGATCGTAGCCCCAAGGAGCAGCAGCAGCAGCAGGTGACCCCACTTACGCCACTACCCACTTCCCCATCAACTTCACCCCTACCACTGCCGGGACCGGAACAAGGGCAAACGAAAGGAGAAGCTCTGTTGAAAAGGAGGAACCGAGTAGAACAACATCAACAGCCACGACAACTATCAACAACCTATGGCGACGCAACAACGACGATTGCAAGCCAAGCAACGCCCACAGGCACTCATCCCCCTCGTCACGCCTCAGTGGCTTTTGACACCGGCTGGCGCCGGGACCTGAGAAGGGGCGTCTACGGTGCAAGCGCTCGCTTGTGAGCGTGTTCGAGCTCCATGAATCAGGTCAATTTGGAGGGACATCGAGTGCTGATGCACTTGTTCGAGGGCTCGTGGTAGATTGAACTGCGACGTGGTACTTTACAACATGGTAGTTTCCGTATAGTTTCCTTGCCAGAATTGGCGGGCAAGAAGTCAGTGGTTTCATCATGCCAGGTCACTTTGGGGCAACGATTCAACTGGTATCTGATTGTATGTGCGAATCTTTGAGAAAAGGCAATTTCCAGCACGATGCTCAACACAAGCATGCATCAACGCTGCGTTTTCGGATAGCCTTTTGGAAACACCATGTCCAAGTGTACCCCTGGAAGTGCGCATAAGTGTTCACAAAGGGCCCATGTAGCCACAACACTTTCCCGTGTTTCAAGTAGCTGGAATCCCTCAACCTCTTACTCGAAAGGTTGCTGCGCTACGTACCGTTTTCCGGTTGCGAGCTATGCACTTGGGCCCAGGGCTCAGTCGTGCCTCTGTTTGTTGGGTGAGGATACATGTAGTGTCGAGGGCATGGTCAGTAGCGCTATAGAGTAAACGCATGAAGTCATAGCCAGCTTACAGAAAAGCCCCTTGAGTCAAGATGATCGGGCAACGCTTGCCTGCACGACGCGATGCCCTTTGCAGCAGAAAGCCGTCTCAGCTCTCCACTTTTTGGTAGCCTTGCACTCCGCCTTTTCGCGACACAACAGGCTGCCGTCATGGTGCAACATGTGGTGTTCCTGAACCTTCCATCCGCCGGACATATGAACCCAACCTTGCCACTTGTAGCCGAACTGCACTCGCGAGGTGTGGCCGTGACTTATTTTGTTGCACCTCAGATGCGGGAGGTAGTGGAGGCAGCGGGAGCAGCCTGGAAACCCATGGGGGGCTTGCATGCCCTCACCGAGGAGCAGAAAGCGAAGTATGTGCCCGAGGGTATGCCTCCGGAGGAGTACGGCTTCCCCATTATCTCCATGCCCGTTGCGGCGGCACAACTGCCCGAGCTGATCTCCGAGCTGAAAGGCCTCAGCCTACCAGCCACGGCCATCGTGTACGACCCTTTCCTACCACAAGGCTTTGTGGCTGCGCGAGTCTTGGGCATTCCTGCTGTCAGCACCATGACGATGCCCGGTCCGGGTGTCGTCGCCCGACCGGCACCAGTGACTGCGAAGTGGGAGTCCAACGAGGTGGTCCGCCGGGCCCGCCAGGAGATCCAGGACCAGAAACGCGTTGACTAAACGTAGCGATTGCAGCCACCACGAGCAGAAGTAACTGACCTTTGTCTAGCTCGACGTGTTAGGCCCTAGAGTTACTAGATTGTGTCCCTTCTGAGGGCTGACGGGAACATAGAGTGGAGGGCAGTTGAGCTCCAGGACGTCCACGGCGTGGACGTTTTTGAATGCGGTGGGCTGATGGAGTTCTACTCCGCACAGTGCACCATTGTCACTACCATAGACGAGCTTTTCGCACCGCCGGCACCGGGCATGCAGCATGAACGATTCGGTAACTTCCCCTTCACATGCGTGGGACCCCTACTGGATGCGAAGGTGAAGAGGGTTTCTCATCCCTCTGTTTGCGATGCTGAGCCGAAGCCGTGCAACGGCGTGCCCTGGGATCTTATCGACGGTGCTCTCGCTGCATCAAAGCGCCTTGTACTGATCTCACTGGGCACTGTCGCAAACTCCAGTAAATGGGACAAGAAGCTGGGTGCCCAGGCACTCAGCAACGGCTTGGAGAATTGCACGGGCAAGGAGATCATTCAGTACGTCTTCCGCACGGCTTTCGAGGCACTAAAGGGAGAGGAGGACCTCCTCGTTGTTTTGGTTGTGGGCTGTCAGCCGGATGTGCTTGATGGCCTGCCCACTCCACCTTCGAATTTCATCATTCAAGAGGCTGTGCCACAGCTTGAACTTCTTCCCAAGTGCCACGCCTTCCTTTCGCATTGTGGTGCGAACAGCATGCACGAGGCGCTAAGCTTCGGAGTCCCCTTGGTTTGCGTGCCGCTTTGGGGAGACCAGGTGCTGAATAGCCAGTCCATCGCCCGAGCGGGTGCCGGGATGGCTTTCGTGTCGCCTTTGCAGACATTGACGGAAGGTGCTCTGCGCTCATCGATCCGGCAGCTCCTGGCAGGCGACAGCAGCTTCCGCCAGGCGGCCCAAAACCTCAGCAAACAGATGCAGTCGGCAGGGGGTGTCAAGCGCGCTGCCGATGTGATTTTGGAGACTGCCATGGCGCAATCCGTGATTGCAGGTGCCTAGCCTAGTGGCCAAAAGTTTAGGTCTAGGTGTAGTCATAGTCTCTGCCAACAGTGCAGAATTGGCACGGATTTCGACCCCTGATGTGCAGTGCGACGGCTTGTGGCTGAGGAGCCCATGTTGTCAGCTTTTCGATTATGGATGGCACTACATGACACTTGTACAGGTCGTGTGCTCAAGCGATTCTTGAAGACGGCTGGATGCCGTATACCTCGAAGAAAGTGAATGCCGTCGGGTAGGTTCAGGTGCGCTTCAACGCATTCGATATCGGGTTTGGCAGGAAAGCTTTCGACACCATGTCAACTCTTCGGTTTATCGCAGAAGAGCCTGCTGGTTAAAGGGCCAGGGACCCTTTCAGACGGCCACTGCACTGCTGTCGTCGGAGCGGAAGTGGTCATGAGGCCATAGAAGTGGAACTGACGACGCTTCCTGAGTACATGTCTTTGCCTGCCACGATTAAGGTCCCAAGCTACTGCCCGTGGTGCACCTTGCGTCTTTCGGTGACGAACCAGATGCGCTCTCCCGCGTGCGAGGCCCTGGTTCATTGCATCATTGCGGACCATGCATGTGTGCGCTTTCGACTTCGGGCCGTCTCGCAAAATGCACTTCCAGTCAGTCCAGTTTTGCGATGTCCTGCAGGATGAGATAAGGGAGTGTGCAAAAATACTGAGGCTCTGAATGCACCCTCTGGTCAGCTACTTCGGGAGGCGACTGGGTGCCGAACACACGGGCTACACATTCTTCATTTACGACTTTGGGCATCAGCTGCTGTTTCGCAATTTCTACTCAAACCTCATGCAGTTGGAGTTCAGGCAGCATACCTTTCCACTTCGACACTGCTGATGCACTGAATTTTCTGACTTGCTTACATGTCGACAGAACGGCTCGTTGTGCTTCGGCTCTGAAGATGACGTCAGTAGCAGGCTGCCACCACATGGGGCTGCCTGCTTCTCAGCGCTCACGAGTGCTGGGCCGGGAATCGAGGCTACTTGCGAGGGGACATCCACAGCCCAAGCCATGGCTGAGATGGATCTATGCCGTGCTCAAACTCGTTCCTCAGGGGGAACGCAGTGGGGGGGGGGCATGTGCGTCAGTGTTCATAATCAAGGCCACCATATAACGAGCTTCGCCAGCATCACTGAAGGTATCCTTGCATTGCCAGCTTCCGCAGCATTTATTCGGAAGAGCGTGAAAACCAACTGCGACCAATCGAGGGATTCGGCTGGGGGTTCGAGTCGCAGACACTGCACGCCAAGGCCTCTCCAGCTCCACGGATGCTGCCGGGGTCTCGACCCGCACCGGTGGTGTCAGCAACACCTTTAATAAAGGGTGTTCGGGTGCAGACACAGCATGTGGGTAGTTCGCGAAGGGTCGTCGAGCCAAAGGGTTCAGGACGCTGGGTTTCAGGTCTCGTTCGCAGTGGTGGCCTCATGGCGAAAGCGCCCACACATGTCAGCAAATGTCGAAGCGGGATCTCTGCAAGCAGAGCCTTCAAAGGCCGCGGCTAGGGGTGATATGAGGGTGCATGTGACACGCGGCAAAGGACAGAAGTGAAGTCGCTATGTGGGAATTTCCGAAAAATAGGGGTACCTTATATGGAGGTCCTTATAATGAGGATCCTACTATTTAGAGTAGTATATTAGGGTCCCCCTATTTCCGGAAACCCCCATGTAAAGGATTGTTCCCACTTCGCCAGGCTTTGGAGGACACCGCAGTTTGGGCCGCTGGTCGCTTGGAGCTGCTCTTTGCCTTTGCCTCAACGACGGCTCAAATCCTGTCATGTAGCGGAATATGCAGTAGAAGCCCAAAATAGTTGGAAGCCCAATAGCCTCATTCCTAAAAAGATCTAAAAAGTAGTGTATAGGGACTCCCGGCACTATTTGGCCTTATCCGGTTTCCAACTTTATGGGGTTTGCTGTGGTGGAGTCGGTAGGGGTGAAGGACAGGCTGAAGGATTGTGAGCTGCTTTGGGACGAGCGGACTGGACTGGAGAGGCCACGCAGCCAACTAGGCCTAAACCCGCTTAGATCTCAGAGGCCTATGTCCTATGTCCAGAGCAAATGTGGCCGATTCGACAGCGCCGCGTCGAACCTGTCGTCAGCTTGTACTGTATAATATGTAACGAAGGAACGACATACATTCATACTGTCATACATTCACATACTTGCATACATACACACACACACACACATACTTACATGCGTACGTACACAGACACACACCCACACACACCTGTGTGTATGTACATACATATATACATACATATATATATATATACACACATTTATTTACTTATGTGTCATAATTATAACTTAGATAGATCAATTGACCTCTCGGCATGTGTGTGTAAGAGTATATGGACACGTGACACGTGTGTGTTCGTATGCATGTACGTCTGTCTGTCTGTCTGTCTGTCTGTATGTATGTGTGTATGTGTGTACGTGTATGTCCGAGTGTATATCTGCATATCTGTGTGTATGCGTATGGGTCTGGATATGGACATGCAGATGGCTATGTACGTGCGTGTATGTATGTATCGCTTTATGAGCGTATGTATATATGGAGATACACATACATACGTACATACATACAATATGTATATACATAGATAGAGCGATCGATCGATACACCTGCAGCAGCCCCGATGTCACAAGAAGTAGGAGGCCCTGCAGCTCACAGGCTCCGTTGCCCACCGGCAGCACAGAGTCCCTACCAGAGGAAGGCGCCCTAATGGATTGATCCAAATTGCGGGTTCAATACGGTTTTAGGGTTTACCTTCCGTCCATGTATTCAGGCGATTGCACAAGTCCTGATGCAAAAAAGGGTTTAGAGGGGTTTAGGATTCAGCTGCAAAAGGATTTAGGGTTTCAGGAGGAATGAGAGGGTTGGCGCAAGACACCACCTCCGAAGCTGGTCCATGTACTTGGGCCTATTGTCCTTTAACATCAACTCCTTGCCGATGCAATGGTTCTCCTCGGACGCACGAACCGCCTCAACGGCACCAACAATCGCATACCCTGTCCATCTTAGTCTCAGCTCCAGGGGAGCTGGAGGAGGAGACACCGCACTGGCCCAAGAGCTTCAGAGAAGTCCCAAGCCGGTCCTTCGTCGTTCCGAGTGCTGTCATGGCATCTGGGCTGAGTCTCGGTTGGAATCGGAGCACAGCCTTTTGCCTGAGGAACGACATCTTAGCTCGAAAGTCTGAAGATCCAGATTCCCGCCAGAACATGCACCCGCCCAACAATGTAACAATCGCATGGCCAACCCGAGGCCAGCCCCTGTGCAGCCTGAGAATCCCTTCCGCAAGAGTGCTGATGCTTCGGGGCTCACGCAGGCCCCGGCTGGCATAGAGATTGATCAGGGAGGATTGGGTTCTGTTGCGACTGGTTGCTTCATTGGACGAGGGTCGTTGATGCTGTGTGTTGGTGTTAACTCACAGCCAGTTTAGTTTTGGCAGTGCTTGATTGAACGAGTATCACAGCCATTTTGTACGGCTACGAGCACGGGCTGATCAAAACTGCTAGATAAGTTGTGTTCTACACTGTGCTTGCCAGGCGACCTGGCGCAGGTCGAACAATGTGGTGTGGAGTACTTAGCTGGAAATGCGACGGTTTGAAACAGCTCACAATCAGTGGAAGAGAAAAAGTCATGTCGTGGAATGTGGTCGCAAGTGCGATGCCAGCCTATGTTGTGGCAGTACCACAGGTTGTGTTGCATCTCAAGACACGGCCAGTTATCACGCTGCTAGTGCTGTGACAAATGCAGGCCTTTGTTGCGCATGCTGCCTTGCGTCCTGGTGCGTATGTTGGTATCAACCTGGATTGGCGTCATCATCATAACCGGACGTGGTTCCAGAAGTGAAGCCCCAAGAAGCCCCATGTCCTTGTCGCTTTTGGCTTGGGTACGTGAGGCCTCTGGCCGCACACATCGAAGGAGAGGTTCCAGGCGCCGTGTGGCAGGCGCACCGCCGCAGAGTGTACAGTCTATGTTTTACCTGGCAGTCCTTGACAAAACACAAAGAAGCAGAGTCCGAAGTCAAAATCGCGATGCCCGGGATGTTGAAGTAGTGGTGGCGGCTTACTCTTGCTTCAGTCTCCTCCCGAGTATCTCTCGCAGCGTAAGGCGCTTGCACAAGCATACTTGGTGAGGACTTCCGGATACTTGGGGCATCTCCCGGATCTTGACCGGATAAACATGAGCAAGGGGAGCTATCGTCTTCGAGTCCACTCAGAATATTGCAAGCGGATGCAAGCAGTATTTAAGCATTCCGATCTGGTTGCTCATGCTCTCCCAGTCCAATGCACCTGCGGATCCTTTACCTGTCTACAGCCCGAGTGCAAACTTTGTAGTCTGCCTATCGGTGTTGAGTTTCGCGCCTGACGAGGCCAACCCCAATATGGACGGGGTCAAGTCACCCATGCGACCCGCCAACATGTCCGGCTCTTGGGTGCATTAACTGCGTGAAACCAGAATCATTCGCGTTTTCGCCGCACCGATTGCTCGTGATGCATGTTTCGTTGAATGGTAATGCTTGCCTGCAAGTCGAGTTTCGAGTCTGGTATCTCAGTGTCGGTGCCGTTTGATGTGTTGGGCTGTGTGTCGTTCCGGCCAGAGCCTCCGGGGCGTGCACTGATCACATGCCTTTGGATTTCGGGTATGCCGGAATGCCTGGGTGCAGGCCAAGCTTGCGTCCTGCTGCAGGCAGGTCGGCCAGCATGTCGCTAGCATGGCAATGCTTGTAGCAGCCCCCGAGTCACACAAGACTTGCTCCAAACCAAAAGTGCGAAAAACGTCTAGCAGCATCATGTCTCCAGCTTTGAGACGCCTCAAAACATCATAGCGGTAATCTTGGTTTTCAGGTGTTCACCCTGCGTCGGAAGATCCAGACGACGCCACGCCTACTCCCTAGTGAAACTGGCGTAGCTTCTTGAGATTCTTGAGTCTATGTCACATCGATAGTTACATCTTGTTTGGTTTTTCGAGGACTCAAGGGGCCAAGTCTG